AGAGTGTTCCATCTCATTTCCCTTTGGGGTTGCTGTAGGTGATCTGGAAGTCTGGTTTTGAGACTTATTTATGTGTTTTCTCATTTCGACTGCGGAGGCAGGGTGGTTGCTCTTGGCATCCACGCAGCTCATGTCCTCTGAGCTGGGAGAGGTGGGCCAGGGCCCGGGTGCAGCGGTAGGGACAGTGGCCCGCAAGCCCCTTCCTCTGGTCCAGGAGCAGTGGGACAGTGGCTCAGAAGCCCCTACCTCTGGGCAGGAATTCTTTAAATGCTGAGAACTTGATTAGCTTCAGTACAGTGGTCTGGTGGTCCAGTGTCCTCTGTGTCTTTGTAGTGTGGAACTAGGTGGCTGTACAGAGAAGAGGCCACAGGAGCTGGCAGGGGGGTGGTCCAGTGGATTGCTGCCGGGGCGTGGGCTGATTCAGTGTTTTCAGCCCGACTGGCGACTTCGGGACCATGTCCGCAGACCTGCCTGTCTGCAACAGGCTGATTCAGTGTTTTCAGCACAACTGGAGACCTTAGCACTGGGTCCGCAGACTTACCTGTCTACAGTGGGCTGATTCGGTGTTTTCAGCGTGACTCAATTTTTTTCTTTTAAATTGAATATAATGTTTAAAAAATAGTATATTTCCTGCCTTAAAAGTTAATTGTTACTCATATTACTCTTGTTTTTACTTTTGTTTTAGGCCTACTGAACTTGATGCATTGGTATTTGGCCATCTCTACACCATTCTCACCACACAGTTGACCAATGATGAACTTTCTGAGAAGGTGAAAAACTATAGCAACCTCCTTGCTTTCTGTAGAAGAATCGAACAGCACTATTTTGAAGAGCGTGGTAAAGGCAGGTTGTCTTAGAGTTGTATGTTAATTTAGCTATTATTTTTTAAAAATTCTAACTTTTGAAATATGTGTTACTTGAATGTTAGATACTGGTATCAAAATTTAAAACCAAAAACACTTTCTTTGAAACCTCCACAAAAAGTATATAATGTATTCTATTCATGTTCTTTATACTGTTATTTGTGTATACATTATTTCATTATTATTTCATTTGATATATTGTACTCTATATCCTGAAATTTTTGTTTCCTTATAAGCTTATAAAAATAAAGCTTGAAGAATTGCAATGTTGTTATATTTACTTTCTTTTGATCTTTCTGAGAACTACTCACCACCTGTTTTATACATACAGAATTAAACAGTGTCTTTTTTAAGGCAAGTAACTTGTGTTACATTCTCTCAGATTACTTTGCTGGCTCCACTGTAAAACTGATCGAGGGAAAAATATTTTTATTAAATAGGCATGTAGAGAAATGGATGACTAAGGCAAGGCAGTTATTGGGTAGCATATTCTGTACATCTTAAGTTGGTTGCTGATTGTTGTTTAGGTCTTCTATATTTTTATTGAGTTTTCTTCCTCCTGGCCTTCATTTCTAAGACAGGAATGTTGAAGTTTGGGTTTTTCTCCTGCAACTTTTATGAATTTGCATCTCTTGTTAGGTATATAAACATTTAGGGAAGATCATTTTTTTCTCAGAAAATTTATCCTTTTATTGATATATACTATCCTTTATCCCTGATAATTCTTGTTCAAAAATTGCTTATCTGATTTTAACTTATTCTAGTTGATTTAGTTATGTCTGAATAGAGCTCCCAATTATACTATTTATCCCGTTGCCATATACACATAAGATTGTTTCTGGTTATCCTATTACATTGGCAGTTTTAGTTTGTGTCAAACTCAAATTATCATCATTCTTGTATTGTATATCATGTTTTGATATCTGATAAGTCCCCCCATCTTCTTATTTTCCTTTAGGAATTGAAGTTGGGACATTGCACTTCCATGTAAAAATTTAGAATCCATATGATTTTGGATAGTTTCTATTGCTGTGTCTTCACATTCACTTAGCTTTTCTTTGGCAGTATCTTATCTGCCATTGATCCCATTTGTAACTATAATTATAATGTCTTTATGTCCGTTCTGGGTTGTGTTTTTTTCTTTGACATTTGAGTCAGTTCTGGCTTTATTTATTCTCTGAACTTTCTTATTACAAGTTACATTTTTCTGATTCTTTGCATACCTGGCAATTTTTAAAATGCTAAATAGCAGAAATTTTTTTTCTTTTGAGTGGCTGAATATTTTTCTATTCCTGTGAATATTCTTGAGCTTTCTTTGGGGATACAGTTCAATTTCTAGAAAACACTGTCCTTTTTGTGTCTTGTTATTAAGATTGTAATAACAGAGCTAGGGGTGGTTGCAGAACAAGGGGCTCATTATTTTATCTTCTGAGACAGGACCCTTCTAAACATTCTAACAGCCTGTCAAATTATGAGATTTTGTCTTCTCACTGGTGGAACTAGGCATTGTTCTTGCACTAAGTGATCTCTCAGCACTGTTCTGTCCTGTGAACTCGAAATGTCTTTGTCTCCTTGGACTCTTCTTTGAATCGCCTCAACTTTGGGAGGCTTTCAGGCTCTATTTGGACTCCCCTTCCCTTGCCCTTGTCCTGATGGGATGGTTCATCTACTGTGTCAACTTGACAGCATAAAGAGCCAGATGGGTTATAAAACTTTTCTGGGGTGTGTCTGTGAGGGTTCCCAAAGAGATTGTATTTGAATTATAGCTTAAGGAAAGAAAATCCTTTCTGGACAGTGTGGGCGGGCACCATCCAGTCCACTGAATAGAAGAAGAAGGTGGAGGGAGACCTGAATTAGCTCTCTCTTCTGGAGCAAGGACATCTGTCATCTCCTGCCTGCAGACACAAGACCTTTAGGTTCTTATGCCTTCAGGGTCCAGGGATTTACACCTGCACAAGAGACTAGAGATTTTATTGTACTTTGTTGATTGTATTATATCATATTAAGAGATTAAAACATGTTCAAGATCACATTACCAATTTACATTCCCCTGAATCTGTGTCATCATGAAATTCTTAATTACTTGTGGTACACACCTGTCATCCCAGTATTGTAGGAGGCTGAGGCAGGAGAATCAAAGTTTGAACCCAGCCTGGGCAACTTAGTGATTTAGCCAGACCCTGTCTTAAAAAAAAAAAGGTTGGGGATGTGGCTCAGTGCAGAGTCCCTGAGTTCAATTCCCAGTACCAGTAACAAACAAAATGAACAAACAAACCAACTTCATTGTTTTTTGATTTTGTGTTATTTGTAATCCTTGTTTTTGTCCATTGTCAATCAGATTCTTTCTTTTCCTTATTGATTTTTATTGAATTACATGTGATATTTGTTGTCATAAATGAACTCATTGTTTTCTTAGGTGTTGTGGATATTTGCTCTCAGATTGCCATTTGCCTTTTTACTTTTTCTAGAAATGGATTTAAATGTTTTTAATGAATTGAAATATTTTAGTAATGGTTTGAACCTTAAATATCCCCCAAAGGCTCATACATTGAAGGCTTGGTCCCCAGCTGATGACGCTTGTGGCAGGTAGTCGAACCTCTAGAGGTAGGACTTAGTAGAAGGGAAGCTGGGTCCTTGAGAGTGTGCCCTTGTGCCCTTGAAGGGGATGTTGGGATCCTGGCTCCTTCATTCTTTTTTTCTTTTTGGTGTGTCCTAGCTGCTGTGAGATGAGCAGCTTTATTCTGCCATGTACTCCCCTTGCCCAAAGATGTTCTGCCTTGCTGTGGGCCCAAATAGTGGAGGCAAGTGACCCTGAGCCAAAATGTCTTTCCTCCTTTTAAGTTGATTATTTCAGTTATTTTATCACAGTGACAAAAAGCTGACCAACACAGTCAATCTTTCCCATTTTGGTTTTCTGATTTGCATGCTTGTTTCAGTCTCTGGAAATCATCAAGAGGAAAAAAATGAGGGAGTTAAAGGCTTTATTATTTTTTTGTATGCTTGTTTATTTATTTATCTATACAAATGGTTAGCCAGTTACCCAAAGATTATTTTATGAGTTTACTGAGTAGAAATTCTAAATTTATCATATTAAAAATTATAAGTTGAAATTTTGTCCAGAAATGTTGCAATAGCTTTTGTTATAAAAATTTATATTATTTCTTGTTACATGGATTATTGATTTTCAAATAATTATAAAGCAATTGAATGTACTCAGTAGTGAAATTACATCAAGATTAAAAAAAATTTCCAATGAATTAGAAACTATTCCAGGGTAATCTTATGGTTTGAATCTTACTATTAAATCCAGTTATAGTTACAGTGACTAATTTTATTATCAATTTATTGATGAATCTAGTAGCTAGAAAGCTAGAAACATGTTTATACTATGATCATTAATCTCTATGAAATTCTAAAACTTCGTTTAGCTTATGTGCTATTTAAACTAAAGATATGTACTATTCATTTTATCTTTGCCTACTTACTGATGAAAGTGTGTTGGAGAAAAACAATACTGATTCCAATTTGAAAAATGCTTCTCCCTTCAGACTCTTATCTTCACCTATTAGTGATAGTCAAGACAGTTTCTTAAAATACAGTGAAGGAAAGAAACTAACAAACCCTTTGTATTTACTAAATATTGTGAAAAATTTACAAAATATGTCAAATTACTAGAATGTTGTTAGGTGATGGGTTAATTTGTGCAGACTATTGAGTTCAATGTCCCAAGCTTAGTGTTATTAGACATCATTTAGTACTTTTCTGGTTTTCAAACCCAAATATTTAATATATGAAATTTCAGTGATAACTGCATTGAAATGTGTAAGTTCTTGAGAAGAGAACATATTTAAATCTCTCGGTTCTGAAATAACTTGTATATTTGTTAATGGTGAGCATTTAATTATTTTTTTGGTTTAACATACACTCAAAAGAAGTACCATTCATGGTAGGTACAAAGTTGTTTCTCAAGGGTTAATTCATTATTTTTCACTACCTAGGGTTTAAGACTAAACTTAACAGAAGTTATTTTAAAGATAATAATGTCCTAAAAAGTGATAACTTAGATCTGATATACTAATTCTGTGATTTTTTTTCTTTAAATTAGAAATACTGGTTTACTGTGTTTAATGCAATACACTCTTACTAGTGTATGTTTCACTTTCATAAAATGAGAGGTAATTACAGTAAAACATTAAGGATATTTTTATTTTTGGCATTTTGTTGTATGCATTTAATTTGCACTTCTGGTGTGTTTGCTTTTTTGTGTTGGAACAGCAGGTTGTGTCCTTAAGGATATTATTGAAAACTTGTACTACAGATAGAGAAACTGAAAGGCAAAATGGAAATGCTGTGAAGAAAAAACACATAAAAATCTTACTGACCACATATGGAATCTCAAAATGAGAAAACAAAGCTAGTAATGAAATTAAGGCAATTAATGAAATTTTAAAAATATCTAGACTTTTAAATAGGAAAGATTATTCTTTCCTATTACAGGTGTTTAATATGATAAGTAGTTGGTGTTTTAAGTAGAGTGGAATGTTAACAATCTAAGATACTACTAAATATAGTACCATTATATGTAAATAGTAACAAGACATTACTTATGTAATATAGATCCACCGTTTCATTTATTAGCAGTCATTAGACTGTATGATGTTAAAAAAATTTTTTTCCAACTGATTAGATTTTCATTATCTGTTTCTTGCTGCTCACTGGACAGCACAAGAAGCATTACTGTAGCAAGTTCTTGAGTACTACTTATGTAGTCTTTCTCTCTAAGTATCGTATTTTTAGTTCACCTCTAGGCTAATACTCTTTTTTTTTTTTTGATACTGGGGATCAAACTCAGGTCCTTGCACTTGCGAGGCAGGAGGCAGAACCACTGAGCTAAATCCCCATCCCCCAGGCTAATACTCTTGAGAGTTAAGTTCTAATCAAGTTTTATATATTCATTCCCCAAAGTGCTTATTTCATTCACTCAGTGGACTGTGGAAGCTAAGGACTCTGGATAAAGAAATGGCAGACTAACTTCCTGACCCTTATCTCCAGGAGCTTTCATGTCAAGTATATGGTAGGCGGTCCACAAATAATTACTGAGTGAATTTAGACCGTGAAAAATCCCTGAATGGGCCAGGGATTTAGCTCAGCGGTTCCGCTGCCTGCCTCGGAAGCTCAAGGTCCTGAGTTTGATCCCTGGTACAAAAAAAAAAAATCTCTGAATGTTTAGAAATTAAATAACACACCTCAAAAAATAGCCCAGGTCCAAAGATGAAATTACAGAATTAGAAAATATTTTGAATTTAGGAATAAGGAAAATGCATGTATTCAGGTTTGTGAAATTCAACCAAAGGAGTGCCTAGAGGGAAAATTGCAGCTTTATATGCTCATATTAGAAAAGAAGAAGTCTATAATCAAGGTCTCACCTTTTAGAATCTAGAAATAAAAAGCAATTATCCTCTCAATGAGTTCTGTGAAAGACAATAGAGTGGAAATCAATAAAATGGGAAATTTACAAATGATAGAGGAAATAAATTCAACAAAACAAACACAATAGAGAAAATCAATTACTCGGAGAAACTGTTGAGGGAGGATAGTCTTTTATGAAGGTGTTTCTGGAATGACGATTTCACTTCGGACCACAGACATACTCAGAAATTAATTTAAAATATAGGTCTAAATGTAAAAGTTAAGACTCTTAAAACTTCCTAAAGAAAACATTGGAGAAAAAACTGACCTTGGGGGAAGCAAAGATTTTCTAGATAGGACACAGAAAGCACTGAAAATATTAAAAAATTGGACTTAAAAACTTCTGCTCTTTCAAAGACACTATAAAATGAGATTACAGACTAGGAGAAAATTTCTTTGCAGTAGTATATGTGATAAAAAAAAGTCTTATGTCTGAAACAACAAATAACTCAACTTAATAGAGTAGGCTTAAAAGTGAGCAAGAGACACAGACATCATATAGAAGTATATGAGTGCTCAATGTGAACAGAAATGTCATCATTCAGAGAAATGTAAATTAAACTGCAATGAGATCCCACCATAACCCTGTTAAAATGGCTAACAGTGAGATGTTTGACAATACCAAATATTGGCAAGGATGTAGAGCAATTGGAATTCACCTGCACTGCTTGCTAGTGGAAGCATAAATTGGTGCAGGCACTTTGGGCAACTAAGTTTCTTAAACATGCATTTAAGAGGAATGTTATGGCCCTGCAAGGTTTTATACCTGAATGTTGATAGCAGCTTAATTCATCAGAGTCCAGAATTTGAAAAAAATCCAAACGTTCACCTACAGGTAAATAGGTAAGTTATGGTACATTTAAACAATAAAATTAAAAAAAAGGCAGTGAACTGTTGTTTGCAACAACCTGGGTAAATCTCAAAACCATTACATATGCTGAGGTTAGGAGGCTTACTTAACAGATGTAAGCACATACTTAGAGATATATGAACTTTTAAAATAAGCAGGGTTTATCTTTAGTGACAGCAGGTCAGTGATTGCCTAGGATCAGATCTTTTGTTGTTTTTTGGACTGAATGCAGAGGGACACTTTTTGGAATAATGGAAAAATTTTCAATTTTGATGTTGTTTATAAGATGTACACATCTCTCCTTGTAGTCTCTTTTTTTTCTTATCCCTTCTTTCCTTCTCTTCTCTTCTCTCCCCTCCCTTGTTCCCCTCGTAATTAAGGAGGGGAAAGGGGCTTGAAGGAGAGGAGGAGAATGGGGAAAAAAGAAGCAAAATATATCATGTACAGGTACAGATTCCCTATGATGATGTTATCATTATGTATATCTAAAATGTACCAATAAAAAAGGAAAAAAAGATGTACACATTTGTCAAGTGCATCGTACTGTATTTTATTGTATGTAAATTATACTTCAATAAAGTTTAAGGAAATAAATTGGATGACACCTCTTTTCTGTTCTCTGAAACATGCAAGATAGGGATTATCATTCAAAAGTCATTGGCTTTTGGGGAGAATAGATTTTTTTGCTATCACTTCTGTTTATTTTTTATTGTTTAGATATTCTGTTTCCTCATAATTTAAGGACTCAGTGATACATCAGTAGTCTAGAATTTCAGTGTAAGGTTATACATTTTTACTAGGAGTAATGAGACACTTGGTTAATTAGGACAGGTGATTCTTGTTTTATTCTCTTCTTTTCCACTTTAGATTTTAATTGAAACTATTTTAAGAGTTGTCCTGTGATCCAGGCTGGGTTACATTCCCATGGCACTTATATATAGCTCTGTGCAGTTTTCCATATTACTATGTTTCTACATCACTTATAGCACTGGGCAATTTTCAAGTGATCATTATACCATGCCAGACATTCCTTTAGAAGGGTAGGGGTAAACTTTTTTTTTTTTTTTTTTTTTGGTACTGGGGATCGAACTCGGGACCTTGTGTTTTTGAGGCAGGCAGCAGAACCACTGAGCTAAATCCCCAGCCCAGGGGTAAACAGTTTTTTAACTGAAGAAATCGAAGCTTACAATTCTTGAAAACCTCTATATAATCACATACCTGTATCCAAGTTATTTTCATACTCTATTGTTACTGTTGTCTGTCTCACACTCAACTCAGTTCTGTCTGTCCCAAACTCAAGCCGGAAGCCAAGCATGTAATGAATAGAGTGAGACACAGAGTGAGGTATTAGACAAAAGGAATAGTGGCAGTTGTGCCAAACTGGAGAACGCATCCTTCTACCTAAAGGCATTAAAATAAAATTAAAGACTAAAACAAGTTGCCTGCCAAACAAACATGTCTTTAGGCCTTATTTAACTACTTGACCACTGTTACGAACCCACTGATTTGTGACTTAAAATAGTGCTATTTAAAGCAATTTCTCAATTGGGAGGCAAGGAAATCCTGGGAATCTTTGTCAAACAATACACAGTCCCCTGACCATCTGCCTAATTGAGAACCACTGGTATTTTTACCTTAGTATCTGGTAATAAATGATGATAATCAAGTTGATGGCGTCATGTGGCTTTAGCTACTGGCCATTGCTAATAGTTTCCTTTTTGCCAGCAGAGAATGTTAACTTTGCTCTGGGTTCTAGCAAAACTACATTTATGCACAAGTGCATTATTAGAGAAATGACAAGATAACCATATGTAGCTCTCAAATGACCCATATTAGAAGGCCTACTACTTAGGCAAAAAATATATTTCCTCATTTATTATTCAGTCATTCATTTAATAAATATTTAAATGTATGCAAAGGTGAGTTAGTCCTTTCTTTTCTCAAGATACTTAAAACTTAAGTGTTGGGAGTGAGAAAACCTAGCACTAGTAGTCAAACGGAGGCGAATGTCGCTGAGATGGGCTTAATGAAGCCTTGGAGGATCAGCTGGACTGCTGGCTAACGCCTCATTTCCTGTGGATTTCTTCTCTCACAAGCTGAGCAGAGCTTCAACAGTTCTCACAACAATTATCACCCACTTGTTCTGTAGGTCTCAAGTTCTTTTGCATTAGTCAGGTTGAAGGATTCATGGTATTAATCACGACTGAAGTTGTTATTTATCACCTGCTGGGTGAGAAATAATAATTTTGGCATGAGTGGGGCAGCAGGCCAGAGGTACCAAATTAAGTAAAACATCTAAACACTAGCAAGGATCATTTCTCTGATTAATGAATTGTTACAAAGAAAAAGTGGTACTCATTATCTGGTCTTACCAATACAAAGAGGGCCGTGTTAAAAAAAAAAAAAGTACCAGCTTGCTCAGACCAATTTTTTTGTTGTTGTTTATTTCATTCCTTTCTCTTTCTCTGAATAGGTTGGTATTGCAGTCCCACTATTTTTGGGTTTTCTTTCTTACCAGAGAACAAAACTGGAGAAATAGCTTATATTTTAATATTACATCAGAAAATATTTCTTGCTATAGAAACAATGGCTTTGCGAGCTTCAAGAAATTGAAGTGATTTTGAAATAGGAAAGATAAGTTACCTTTAAAATGCTCAGTCATCCCCTCAGGTGTACATAAATTAAAAACTTTACTATGATGCCACTGTATTTTACTTTTTCTATTTTGAACTGAATGCCATTGGTGAAGGGCTTATTTATTTATTTATTTGTTTTGGTACCAGAGATTGAACTCGGGCCCTTGTGCTTGTGAGGCAGGCAGCGGAACCACTGAGCTAAATCCCCGGCCCATTTTTAATTTTTTTTTTTTTTGGTACTGGGGATTGAACTCGGGTCCTTGCGCTTGCGCAGCAGGCGGCGAAACCACTCAGCTAAATCCCTGGCCCCAAAGGGCATATTTTTTAAAGGGTCAGTTTTTGTTGTTATTGTTCTCTGATGATTCCACATAAGAAAAGAGAGTTTATTTTTTTCTCGACTCCTAGAGAAACTTTTATCTTCCATAATGTAATCTAAGAACTTCTGGTTATGATGGACCTGGATTTATCCTGCCTTAACTAAAAACTCACTGGATAGGGCCTGAGGAGGTATTCCAAAGAGGACACGGTCACCTCAACTTGGCCCACTGAATAGGTTCTTGACTCTTGTTACAGAAACCAATTTCAGGACATGTCATTGTGAGGCATAGGTAGATTTATTGGGCAGAGTTAGAAAATAAGGGAGTATAGGAAAGTATTCCAGCTTGAGCAACTGGAGGGAGCTCACTCTGATGATAGGTTCAGACTGGCCGGTTCACAAAAGAATGAGACGAGCTTTTAAGGATTAGCTGAGATGGGCCAGGACCCAATTGGTCGTTATCACAGTTCTGGTTTCATAGTTTTGGAGGACTCCATATGGCTTGAGGGGCAATTTGGTTCCCATGAAATGATTGTTCTTGCTCAGCAGAGAAGTGACCTCAGTTTCCATCATGGGGTAATTGTTCCCATTTGGAGAAGGTGACCTCATCATGGGGTAGTCTATAAGGCTCTTCTTTTGCTGAAACTTGGGGTAATTATAGGCTTACGACAGTGGCTAGAGACTTCTAGGCACTGGTCCAAGGGGCTGGAATTGGATGTTGCTGGCAATTGGGGATGGCAATTGGATGTCTCTGCGAACCCTGATTTGCAGAGGTTAATAAACTAATTACTTCAATTACTCTTACCTCGGTGTCCTCAGTCATGAAGGAATTTTGGGCTCATCAACACAAAGGCAATTCCCTTCTGAGAACTCTGATGCACCAAGTAAGTGGTCTTTCAGACACTCTCTGAATGATTAACCTGCCTATATACAGAGCTGAGCAGGGATCTGACCCATCATTTTAGGGTAATAAGAGAGATCAAAAAAAGAGTTTCCTTGTGTCCCTTTACCTCTTTTTAGTTCCTTTATCCAGCTCAAAACCAGATGAAATACAAGAAGCAATGGTTTCAGACATGGAACAATAGTTCAGGACAGTGATCTCTGAGTGACAGGAAACACGGTGAATCCTCCAACTGCCCCATCTTCTCCTTAGAGAGCATTTCCAGGCTCTAGCTTAGGGACAGGAACCCAAGCAGAACTCAGCAGTCTCCTTTGGTTGAGAATTCACAAGGCACAGTACTGCAGAGAAGATAGCTGCAGAGAGAGAGCGAGAACTCTGGAGATCTGTAGAAGGTTCTTAGTCCTCCACTTTGGTCACCACATGCATATGGGAGAAACCACTGGGGGTTGGGGAAAGAAGTGTTGGAAAAGAGCAAGCAAAACAAGTTTTAGAGCTCTCAGTGGGATGGGAATAGTTGGTGTTCCCCACTGGTCAGAGTGGCAAGACCACTTACTCGCGGTACGCAGCATCAGAGTTCTCAGAAGGGAATTGTCTTTGTGTTAGGGCCAAATTGGACCCAGACCAATGGCTATCTAGATCTACCCTAAAAGATGGCTCAGAAGGACTGGATTAATTCTAAGGAACTACTTCCTAGAACAAAGCCTTAGTTAATGAACACAGAAATCTCCAGCACTCAATAATGTAAAATTCACAACGTTTGGCATCCAAGAAAAAATTACCAGATGTGCAAAGAAGCATGAGGAGAAAAATCAGGGAGTAGAAATAGACCCAGAAATGATACAAGTGACAGAATTCATAGATAAGAATGTAAAAACAGTTATGATAAATAACCTTTATATATTCAGGAAGGTAGAAAAATGCCATATAAAATAAGCATTATTCTAGATATAAAATTGATATTAAGATTCTGAAAGTCTGCTGACTAAATAAATGCAAATAAACCAGGATTAGTATGGTTGGCTTTTCAAAACATGAATTTCAATAAGTACAGAAGGCCTTGAAAAAGTTTTGTCATTTGTATTTTCAACCAATATGAAGATAATACTGAATGCCAGATTGAACTGCTGAACTTTATCATATTATGCTATATTAGAAATTATCTTATGACATATATATGGGAATAAAGTATAGGTCTATGTCCTCCTCATTTGATATATTTTCAAAGCTTTAAATATATTTGATAATTACTACTAATGATACACTTCTGCTTGAAGTGTTTTTCCAATAGGAGTTACTGAACACCACTCTTTGTACACCTACTCAGAAAATAATGTGTCAAATGAAAACCTGACTTGTGAAGTAGTCCAAGAAAAACGGTAACTTTAAAAATCCTTGATGATGATTAATACTATGTATAGTATTTAAAGTAACTAAAATTTTTGAAATGTATCAAATTTAATTGGAAGCATTCAGCAGAAGAGTGGATATAATTGATCTCCTATTATAAGTGCAGAATGGAAATTCCAATTATAAAAGCCATCCACTAACAAACTCAACCAAAATGAATTTATTACAAACCAATATTTACTGACCATCTGTATATTGCATTTATTAGATTCCAAAGGTCATACAAAAATAGACACAGCTCCTACTTTCAAGAAGTGACAATCCATATGGGTAGATAAGCTACAAATGTGTAAAAAGTTAAATAAGACTGCAAAAAGGCAACCATTTAAAGAAAGTCGAGTCATAAACAGTTAACTATTCAAAAAATGATGCTGAATTTAAATATGTGAAAAAATACATTCACCAGAATAGTTATAGAAAGGTTTATGGAAAAAATAAAACAAATTGCATCTTAAAAGGTAGATAGATAGACTTTGAATAGGGGAGAGTTTAGATTAGAAAGTTACAGTATGACTAAAGAGGGACCAGCAAATTCATGGACAGGAGCTAAAATAATGTGGTTAAGTCTGAAGGTTTCTGTAGGGTGGCCATGGAAGACTATGTTACAAGTATAAATTTCAACTAGATTTCAAAAGCTCTTGAGGGCATTTAAGTAATTTCAATAGGCAATGCACAGTCAGCATAGAAATAATGGTGTAATGGAAATTGCTCAATTGCTCTGGGCTTGGAGTCAAAAGACTTGAGTTGGACTCTAGTCTTGTGTAGCTGTGCATACATGGTCTCAGGCAATTCACTTTCTACAAGTTCAAGTGTCCTCATTTACAAAATGAGAACATTACTACCTATCCTACCCACCTAACAGACTTAGTGTGAAGATCAAAGAAATTAATTAATGTGAAAGTGCTTTGTAGGTTACAAGGCACTCCACAAATCCAAAGTATTATTTTATTGGAGAAAGAAATGATATGATTAAATTGGCTATTGAGCAAGACTGATCAGAAAGTGATATATAGCATGTCTCCCTTACTACGAGAAAAAAAGGCAAGTTCATGTCATTAAAGTTTATGTAAGAGTATCTGGATTAGGAAGGTTGCTGAGAAAAAGGAGATAGAGGGCAGATCTGAAAAAAAATTGGAAGGAAAATCTGACAGCTAAGAAAGGGTTGACAGCTAATTGGATGTGGTGAATGAAGAAGTAGGGTCCAAGGTCTTGGGCCTCAATGGTGGAAAGTTATAGCTGAAGAGAAGTATATTCCTGAATGATGGGGTGGGGGCAATTTGGGGAATGTTGTGTGTGCCATGCAACTGGAAGTATCCAGGAGACAGTTTTAAACAGCCTTGATTTTTACAATCTAACAACTCTCCCAAAGACTCTTCTGTGACATGAGAAATCTTTAATTACCAACCCCTTGGTATTTTTTAGGTTATAAAAGAACAAAAAGCCTGGGAATGGGGAGGGGGTAAACTGGGTGTAATTTAGCTCTGCCGACCTTGACAATGCTCATTTTGTAACATGTAAATTGAAATTGTCAGGATATGCTCCAAGGGGGCTGCTGTTCACATCTTAAAAACTCCTCAAATGTAAATTCACAAAATCCATCATGTTTGTTTTCCTCTAATTTTATTATTAACATATGTATTTTCTATTTTCTTCCATCTCATCATTAATTGAGAGAGTTACAGGTAATGAGAAGTGGCAAACATTTGTGGAAATTTTATTAGCTGTCCATTATTTTCAATTAAGAGTATTCAATTTCTAAAAATCATGTTGAATCACTACCAAGATGGCCTTGATGGCTTTGGTTTGGCTTGTTCCCATAAGTATAACTGGTCCTGAATAGGATATGTTCTTGTTTTAAGATACATAGATTTTTTTGTTTTATAAAATAATTTTAAGGAATTATTCTTTTTTTTAAGAGGCATTAGATATTTTTGGTCAAATCTTCAGAGTTCATATTTGGAAACTT